GGAAACACCTTCGTTCTGCTGTTTGCATGCCATCCAGATCGCATCATACATTTAGTGCTTTAAAAGACAATTTAAAGGACGAGACGTGCAGAGAACCTACAACACCAAGGAAAGCTGAAAAAAAATATTTGTGTTCTCAGAATTTTCAAAAGTTGATAGAGATAGCAGAAAAAGACTTGCACAAGAATTAGGAATTATTTGAACATCCAGAGAAAGTCCTTCTCAGAGAAAGAGGATGCTACTGTATTTGGGCCTTGCGAAAGAAGTTTTCCAGTGACCTGATTTTACCAAAGCTAGCCCGCCTCGGCAAATATCCAATATATTTTGATATTTCAGATTGGAGAAGCCACTAACGTCATTGGAGAAGACCTTCCAAATCTTAAATTTCCCAATGACATTGTCGACATGTTGGAATTTTCTGTAGAACATTTTGAAGAAATGTTGTGAGGACTTGTATTGAAACTGAGGGATTAGGCCTGAAGATGAGCGCGAAATGAACAATCGTAGGCCTATAAGAAACTGCCCCAACTTCATTAGACCATTTTCAAAATGCGTTTACTCGTACAGTAAAGGATGAATAGCTTTCCTGTTACGTGTGATTGTTAGGCACGAAGTCAACTTTCGTTTATGGGAAATAAGGGGCCATTGCGTTGGCGTTTAATGATGCCTGTTGACTCTGTCGCTCAGATTTGCGTGGAAAATCTTTCCATGAATGTTTACTTGCGCGAAAAGATAATTCATACGTGTTTCTTGAAAGGATGGTGCGTTTCCAAAGGAACAATGTCACATATAATCATTTACATTGGAAAGAGGCGAGAAGCGAAGAAAGGCGTGAATTTTAGACATAAAGCCTAACGCAAGACCTGTACGTAATAATTAGCTTCTGTCTGAGGTTATTCATTTCGCGGAAATGGAAAATCCACCCAGCAAGAGAATACTTGCATGTAATGTAAGGAACGCAAAGAGAAAAGCCCATGTCCTCAGCCCAAAACACATCGGGGTGAGGATTACGAATGCCTGAAAATTATGCGAGCGCCACCTGGCCGGTGAAAGGTACAAATATATTATGACGCTCTATGAAACTTGGTTGCATCTTTCTGTTTGTGGAAAGAACCTGTTTATTTATTGCCAAAAACAGGGTTTGGGTTGCTGAAGCGCGCCCTTGTGAATCGGAACTGCAGAACTTTGAGGTGGACTTCGGAAAGTTATCAGAGAGGAATGGGAGAAATTGAAAATCTCTGTGCTCCGTAAAGCTCTGGTAGAGTAAAAGTTAAGATGCAGGACTATTCTTCAAAATCAAGGACACGAGATGGAGCATGATAGTCTCTGAAAGAAGTAGTAAAAAGGTATAATATTCTGAATAAAAATTGGTCAAGACTGGGCAGCCTGTATTCGATGATCCTGTCCTCGACGGAAATCCCAGTCAGAAGAGAGTAACGGAAGAATAATAACCTGTAAATCTTCCTCGGAAACCTAATGGAAGTGATCCGAAACCATTCAGAAGAGGTGAAGAGATGAACTGTTTGTTGCTTGCTGGAGAGCGTTCGGGAAGCTCAGCAACATTATAATGAGTGCGATGCCCTGGCTGAAGCGAAAGGTCTTTAACCTCTGCGTCCTTCCCGCAATGACCAATGGATTCGAATTGTGGACGCTGGCTAAAATGATGCTGACGTACGCAGAAAGCATAGAGATGATCGGAGAGATTTATGTTAAGCAATACTTAGAGAGAAAGGAAAGCCCAGATCCGAGAAAGCACAGGAATAGGTGACATAATGATGCCTGTTGACTCTGTCGCTTAGATTTATTTAGGGCAGGGATTGAAAATGAGCAGGCCAAAGTGGTTGCATATGAATGTAACGCTAACGGGAAAAGTCCGTCGACAGTTCCTGTGTCACCGCTAGTGACTCCATGGAGCCATGATTACATGAGAAAGATGGGTTGTATGCCAGTGGCGTACTTTACGGGGGGGGGGGGGCAGCCAGCCGTCCCCCCTGGCGCCCCTAGGACAGAGCTTGACGCCCCCTTTGAGGTAATCATTTTCTCCCCTGATATCGCTCAGGTGGGGTTTGGCGTCCCCACTCTGTTGCCCTGCCCGACCTGACCCTTCAGCCAAAATACGTCCCTGACTGTATCGACGTCTTATCGACACTCGCTGCAACGCGCTCATAAGTCTTATGTATGTTGCCTTGTCCACAGTCTTTTGCACACTCAAAATACGCACATGAAAAAAAAGACTAGGTTTAGGGCACCGGTTTTCAAACTTTTTCTTCCACGCCCTCTCTTGAAATCTCACCACTGCATCGTGTCCCATACCTCCGAGTCACCGACGGAGGGGGGGATAGCTCGTGAGCACTTTTTCTGTTTCGCTGGTATTGTCCTTGTACTTACATCCCATATTAAATTCCCAGCTCTAATTTTCAACTGGATTATAAGTGTGAATTCAGCCTTTTTCCTGCTGGGAAACTGCTGGTAGTAAAATTGCATACGGGCTGGTCTCCAGCTGGAATTTCTCAGTGGGACTCAGAATGGCTCTGTTAGTTGTTCCCTACTAGAGTCCAGTTTTGAAGGCAGCTGTAATCATGTTGGAGGGTCCTGGATGGTTCTGAACTAGTTTCAGAAACAGTTCTTAAAAAATAAAAAAAACTTTAGCTAGAATTCATAGCTCTTCGAAAATCATAATTACGGCATAACTTAAGTTTGATTTCTTAAAAAACATGTGCGCTTTCCCATGACGTAGTTACTCCTGTCGTAAGTAGGTGGCGATTCGTGATCAGCTGCAGCAGTAGTTAGTCAGCGGAGGCAGTGTAGGCAGTGCCTACCTTTTCTCCAATCACGAGCTGCTGCTGCAACAGTTCACGAACCTACGAGCATAAGAGAGACGAAGACGGATGCTATTAATATCGTCGGAATACCATGACATCAAGGACCTTCCTCTCCAATTGCGTGACAAGGCTTATCACGTGATCCTATTCCCATTCCATGCTCAGTTTTTTGCCTAGACGGCTCCATCAGGAGAGGGTATTATCACCTGAGCAAGGTGTGTATTTATGTTCAAGTAATTCTTTCGCCGCATTGCTATTGAGGGTAAAAAGAAACAAGGACAAGTATTTTCAGTGAAGAAGCGCCTCATCTTCACTGAAAATACTTGTCAGAGACAAAATAAAATACTTATTGGTTGTCTTGTCAGAGACGAGACAACCATTCAGAAAAAGCTCAAGAAGATACGACACGTTGAGGAAGTGGCTCGCAGTGCCGGCGACGCATCACGAATCGCTCAAAAAGTGATAGCTCGGATGCATCTGTCGCATCCTCTGAATCATTCTGCTTACAACAAGCCATATCGACGATCGGTCAAACCTGAAGCATAGAAAAGAAGCTAATAAAAGAACTATTTCAATGGACTAGGTTGTAACGAAAGTTTTTGTGCATACAAACAACGCAACAGTCCGCGAAGCACGATTTTTTCGTCACACATTCTGAACGCTGTATTTTTTATTATTATAAATTTTGCGATTTGTAAAAAAAAAAAGCAACATATATTTATACGCGGCATAAAACGCGCTTTCGTTCAGAATGTGTGACGAANGATTTGTAAAAAAAAAAAGCAACATATATTTATACGCGGCATAAAACGCGCTTTCGTTCAGAATGTGTGACGAAAAAATCGTGCTTCGCGGACTGTTGCGTTGTTTGTATGCACAAAAACTTTCGTTATAACCTAGTAAAATCCTGCGATCCGCCACGTCTCAGCTGGCAGCGGCAGGGGGGGATTGCCCCCCCCCCCCCCCGCCATTATTGGCACCCTGTATGCACAGGTCATATATACGTGGTACATATACCTGTATATAGGTCCGAAAAACTTGACCGTTTCGACTTCACTCAATTTTTAACAGTCGATGCCAAATTTTAGCATACAAACGGTGTGTTTCCATATTCAGCAGGCCTGTTGAGAGCACCAGCCATTTTCTCACTGCGCCTACGTAGTTGCAGTTCCCTGATAGGAGAGATTGGATGGAACGAATGACAACTGCAGTCTCAGAAAAAAATTTTCATGAAATTCTAAAACCAATTAAGAGCTTGGGAATAGGACTGAATTTGTCACTGTAATCCAATTGCTTCCTTAATTGAATTGCAGCAGGAAAGAGATAAAGAAACCATTATCCTAACTGGAAAATTCCACCTGGAAACCTGTCTGAATCCAACTACATTTTAAAGCTCTTTCACAGCTTGCGTGGATGTGAACTTACGTCTATCGTCTAACTATAAATTATTGTTGTTTCAAAGCGAGCATCCCATAATTGCTGCATTGCGCAATAATTTGACTCTAGTCTCCATCCCGCACCTATCATCCTAATGGAGGGAGGGAACGGGGTAGGGCTAGTTTGAAAACCGGTGGTGTAGGGAATAGCTTTCTCCTTTAATGTGAAACCCGATCCTTGATCTATAAGAGAGCCGCCTTATAAAAAAAAAAGTTAGTTTCGGTGGGGTTTCCTTCCAGACAGCATAATGTTGATGCCCTCTATGTTTGAAAAGTCAATAATAGGTTCTGAGTTGAAGATGTCAGTCAAAGAAGGACGTACCATTGATCAGGAAGGAGGACTCAAGAGCCTGTAATACCATCTTCCATCGTAATTGACGACCATTCGTAGTAATTCCTTCACCAGAATGTCTGAGATTTTTACAGTGCTGCTTGCCCTCCGTTTTCTTCTTCCCGATGGCATGTGATGACTTATTCCATGTGCAGCCCTTTTCTTTTCAAATTTGCTGATTTGCTGTTTCTCCTGCTGACCTCTGCAGTTATTAACTCTTTTTTAATCAGTATAAGGATGAAATCCCCTTTCTTTATCCAAAGGATTGCATTTCCATGGTACTGGTCATCTCCCACGTCTGTTGCAAAATGATTAATCCAATTTTGAGAGGGAAATAATATTTATTTTGCTAACATTAATTCCATGCAATGAAATATTTGAGAGCCATCCGTCCGCCAGACACCGCCCAATCTAGGATGACGTAAGGTGCTCCTTGATCCAAGGTGCGAAGAAAGAGACCCTGGTATAAATGCCAGCTTGATTTGGTCTGCCACATCCGATCCCGGCTGAGGTGATACCTATGAGTTCGTATGTGTCGCCCTTCTGCCTAACCATTGGACCACCGCTATCTCCCTGTCAGAAAAAAATCAGAGACAACATCATTTCTTTTTAATTCTCATCAGTCACACGCATGAGTTGGTTATTCTATACACTCTCATACAAGCAACTCAATTAACTCAGTTTGGAGTGATTCATGAATTGATTAATGTTGACCATGCAGTCCTATGAGAAAAGAGCAGGTGTCAACTGGGCACCGGCTCTGATAGCACTATTCAGACACCTTCAATTGCTATAATTGTGACATTCAGGAATCAAAATTTGCCCTGAGAGTGGCGAATGCCTTTCCGGAAGGAAAAAAAGTACCTTTCCTCACTCTTTCTTATTTTTGTAGTCTTTTCCCCCCTTCTTGTTCTTTATTACTAAATGTTACTCTTAAAATATACCTGTCCTCCTAATTGAAGCCAATAGATTTCCGTCTCGTAGTATTCAAATTACACAGTACGAATTTGGAACTCTCAGGTATCAGATGGAGAATGGAGTACTTTCCGTCATCAGGGACCCGCAATTTTCCTTTATGACTATTTTCAGTGAGTATCATCATGTTAGTATCATAGCCCTCTTAGGAGACACAACGTCCGAATTTAAACAGCTACGCTTTGGATCAATGACAGGGAATACGTGCCATCGTCATGAACAATTATCAATATGCGAATTTTCAGCGATTTCCTACCCCAAAGTATTCAAGTTAGACACGTCTTTCGGATTTCGAACGCCTGAGTATCGAACGAAGAATAGGGAATGATTTCCGTTATCAAGGATCGCAAATTACCTACGTACCAAATTTGCAGCGAGTTCCGTGTCATGGCATTCATATTTAGCGGTCAGATTTGGAATGCGCAAGGGTATAGAATGAAAATTAGGGGATGCCTTTCCGCATGAGAGACCCTGAGTACTGTAGCCTTGAGCTCTGCACGGGATATGGATCGTCGCGATTTGACTGACCCAACCCGCGGATCGAGCGTATAGCTTGGTTGGCAATCAGGTTTCCGGTTGGGCGCGGACGATAACCGACCAGAACCTTCCCAATGTCTTTCGATGGAGCGTACGTTACTTTTTGAGGCAAGGACGTTAAGTTTTGACGCGAGTGCCTTAAATTCGCTCTAAAGGACACCAGCAATGTATTCTATCAGAAAGTTTGTTTCGGTGAAGGGCGTATGGCACATATGCTGTATGACAATTTTAAATATAGTTAATGGCGCTATATCTGGCGGATGGTGTGCTAGTGCCAATAAACTGGTCATTTCTCTATTAAATTTATTCATGAACTATTTTTTGTACAGTTTTGCAGGTCATACACTGAGGTCCTATCATCTTGCCCTCAACGTCTACCCAAACAACTAACACAATATAGGTTCGGTTCTGGAGTGGATATGTATTTGCCGGGTGTTTTAACAGTGATTAACCAGGTAAAGTGAATGCAGACTTAATCCTATGAAAGCCATCCAACAGTCCATAGAGATTATTTTATGCGAGATGTTTGGAGGAGGTGCTGCTCGAAAGCACACAAATTTCCCCCATCCGTTCTTCCCCTCTCGCCTTCGTTAACCCTTTCAGGACCATAAGCATTGTGGGACAGCGACCTTAACTTTAATGACGTGTTTAGGGTGAAAATGACGTGTAGATTCCAAATAACTTTGTTTGGAGGCTATATCTCCCATAGTTCTCGAGATATAGCGTGGGACAAATATGTCCCACAACAAAAAAAAATACATTTTTTTCGAAAAATAATGAACAAATGAGTGTCGAAATGAGAAAATATGTTACAGTAAGGACATACGAAGGCAACCCCACAGACAATTTTTTTTCGGCTGCATCGGTTTTTCAAAACAAAAAAAAATCAAAATTCACATTTCCGGACCCATTTGGAAAAGATAATTTTGCTTAAAAGATAATTTGTCTGGTGACGACACAAATTCATATATTCACAAAACCTTCCATAATTTTGAAAGTCCATGACATACTAATTCCTTATTCGCAAAAAGCATCGCCCTAGACTAATTCATTCAAATTTGGGAGGATTTTGAAAATATGGGACAAATACGTCCCTTGGTCCTGAAAGGGTTAAAGCCCAGACGGCGATCGAGTTTCGGATCGGGTGCGGGCTAAGACTGAATTGGGCCGATCGGGTTCGGTTCGGAAAAAGTTTTTTTTTTTTAGGATCCATATCAAAAGCTGAAACTGAAGATCGGTTAACGGATACAGTAGAATTTGCAGTGCTCTCATCGTGCTAGTCCATTAAGGATGACATGATGACACCATTGTCTTCTGATAGATGACTGTGATCCAGGAGTCGTTTCCTTCGCCAGATTCAGAAAGAAAAATTTGGGTATTTCAAAATTTGATCATACCGCTCACGATGAATCGAATTAGAGTCTTTGATCAAATAAGAGCCCTTTCATTTCTCTGACTTGTAGAAGAAGGCGTCCTTATCAAGTCGACTCCAAGTCAAGAACACCCTCGTGCGCTAAGAAAACGTGCTGTAATAAGATCTGGGGGAAAACTTTGCTTACGTTGCAGGTGTCCTTTCCTCCTTCTTTGATTCCAGCGCAGAACTGGACGCTTGTACCTTGTACATGAGCTGCTACAGTAGGGAAACCTGCTTTCTTGAATCTCTCAGAACACTCCTTATTGGAAATGATGGGGATGTCAACCTTATGAAGGACTGCTGAGCTCTTGCCATCTGCAAGAAAAGGAGGATAACCCTTTACGCAATGCATTTGACATTACTTTGATGATGATGATGGTGGTGATGATGCTACTTGATGTTTCAGAGCCCCAGCCCACTGTGATGCCTAGGACATTTTCCAAATTCTCTTGTTCGTCATCATGAATACAGATTGGCCACTTATGGCTGTCCAGGTTGACCTCTCGGTCCAGTGTGAGGACCACCACGTCATTTTCGTAGGTTCCAGAATTGAAAGACTCGTGCTTGACCCAAGAAGTTATCCGGAAGCTTTCCGAATCGGGGGTTTCGGGCTCCTTAAGGTTGTGTTCGCCCAGTTTGATCTTGAAATCTGATAGTTGCCAACTGCAACATAAAATTAAGATGACTTTATACTGATTTCGTCCATAATCAGTGAGCGGGTACTTTTTAACTTTTTAATTAACCTTATGATACAATGTGCCGCAGTGAGGACGTGCTCCCGAGACACAAGAGCTCCGCCGCACCAAGTTTTATCTTGTGGAATATTGTGGATCAGAACCATGAATTTGAATTCTCCCGGAGAAGCGATAGATCCTCCCAATATCCTTCTTGGGGACTTCCATAGGCAGCTTATCCATTATTCCATTTTCCATATCCCCTGAACCCTGGATAAATCGAAGCAGAACTCTCAATCAGACCTCTGTGTTGAATGGAAATGAGGGTACTTTCGAGTTGAAATCACGAACAGTTGAGCACGATGCAGAGGAGACAGGTCACACGGGAAGCACTTAAATCCAGAATCATAATTCTTGAAGGTGTACTGATATCATCACGGAACACGATACTCTATTTATAGCGAAGGTTCTTTGTCCCTGAAAGGCTTACAGATATGTTGGTTCCTGGTTCACCGGTTCAGGGGAAATAAATACGTCATGTTTCTCTACACACCGTGAGTGTATCTGGTATAAATTCATCAATATAGCAATATTGGCTTGGACAGTTTGCATTGTATAAAAGTGTCGCCTCTCATGTTCGCATACAATAACGGATTAGGAAACTACGATGGCGTTCTGTTGATTTTGTATGTTAATATGACCGGATAGATTATGCGGGAAAGCTAAGTCTAGAACTTCCGCTTCCTCCTCTTGCAATCGGAGGACCTTGTAATGAATGGTTCCTCGCCGGATAAATAGCTTATGATCTTCAGTCCCTCATTGCGGAGAATCTGGTAAAGGAGTACGCAGGGTTGTGTTTTTGACTAGGATGTCTTATTTTTGCTCAACATTTGGCAGAGGTATCCGAATATCTCAAGAAAAACTTAAACCCAGTCATAGCGGCTGTGAAAAGGGTGATGGGAGTCGACATACTCTGTATCGCCTTCGAAGACTCGGTTGAGCTTTTACGAGCAAACTGGGGAGCAGGCAGAACCCAGGAGGAGAACCTCAGAGGGTATATAAATGAGACGCATCTCAGCCGTGCTGGATTGAACAATACGTATGCAATTTTTTAAGGGATGATTTAAGTAATAGTTTTGTTTCTTTTAATTATAATACGAGATGGAGCAGTTTCACATAAAAAAATAGTGCTTATAATCTAAATGCGCCTGAGTCACACTGGAACTTGATTTTTTCTTTAAGTATACGACTTTTACGCGATGTTGTTTTTGCCAATGATCCATGGTGAATAAAACTCCTATGAATGGGTCAACAATTACAAAAAAAATTACATGTAACCGTCAGTTGTTGAGATATTGAGATATTCCTTTCATTCAATTCTTTGGAATTGAATGAAAGGAATTTCGGGACCTCGTCACCGAAAGTAGAGCAGCTCATATGATCATGTATGGAGCACTTCAATTGGCTTGCAGTTATCTGATTCTGTATTCTGCTCACTAAGACTGAATGCCATGTTAAACGCCGTGTGGGTTACATCACGACTTTCCGATGCGACCGAGTCATCCGCACCTTGGCTGACGTGGAGGGAATGTTTTCTGGGTCACATTAGTCATATGTGACGTGACTGCCTTATACTAGCGAATGGGATTTCAGAGGCCTAAGTTGTAACACACAATAGTGAAGTCAGTGTTCCCAGTAGCTACTGCCTTCACAATTATTTGTGGCTATACGTCTGGCCTGGAGTAGAGCAATTTCATCAGCTGTCTTGCAGTGACAGTGATGGATACAGTACATTAGGGGAGCGACAGAGATAGAATTTTTGATAATTTAATTCACACCCCCCCCCCCCGTGCGGAGATGTACAACATGCCTTGAATGGATGTTTGTTGCCTATGGATCACGTTTTGACATGCTGTCACTTCCGTGTGCGCTGAGTCAAGATGTCAGCTTGATTCTCACGTTATCCATTGTCCTAAATACAGTATTTAGATAAGTGACCAACCCGTAGTTACATGACAGGGCGTTTGGTCTAAATCAGTTATTATTGGTCGTGGTATCGGAAGATCAAAGGAACGCTTAGAGAAGCTCTTAAATCCACCCACGACGGACTCGGAGTTTACTTGGGCAGAGAATAATCTCTTCATCGAGGATGTTTACCAAGCGATGACTAGCATGAAGAATGGAAAATCTCCTGACGTGGATGAAATCCGAGCAGAGACCCTGAAAGCAATGAATATCTATGAGTGGGTTTTTAAGAGCATTTACCTCTTCACCGTCACCTATTGTCATAAGCGTTATGGAACGACCAAAAGGATCAGGTCGCAGATACAAGCTGCCGAAAAGGTTTTGGAAGCGGGTGCCCTGTGTCACGTGTCGTGAGAGGATGCGAAGTGCCTCCTTCCATGAGAACCTCCATGTCGAGCAGCTACTTCGGGTCAAGAGATTCCAGACCCGTTGGCTTGTGAACTTGTCTCCTGTATGCCTCCCGAGAGACTCCAAAAAGGAGTCCTCCGATCTAAAATGACTAGAAAAGACCAATTTGTTGATCTCGTGCAAGGTGAAAGGACTACATCGCGAATTTTTGTCGGGAGAGGCTCAGTATATATCCTGCCGAGATTGGCCATTACCCAGGATCGCGAACACTGGAAGATGCTCCTTGGTCTGCTCGAGCCGCGACCCCATTCAGTTGGAATAGGCGATTTTTTAAATGCATTTATAACCGTTTTGGTTGGGCCTATGTTGACCCGATGTGATCCTCCGACGTCAGGAAATGTTAGCCTGTCGGTGACTCATGTAAGCCTCATGTAAATGTGATCGTTAGGCCAACGTTGGCAGTTGCTACAAGTATCCCAACTTTAACTAACGCTACTCCCTCCGAATAATATTGCTTTTTCCGCAGATCCGTGGTTGTAATGCTCTTGGACTAGTATCCTCGAGGGGATTCTATTTTTTTAATACAGGGTGAACACAAAGATCCAGGTGGCTCCAATACGAATGCGTGTGGCAAATGTATTATTTTTTGCAGGTAAGCTGAAAGCAGATGCAATGATGGCCGACACAACTTCGCACACCATTGAAGAATGGTTAATAGCCATTACATGGGCCCATGAGCCAAAAAAAATCGATATGACGATAAACCAAATACCGAACGACTTCATATTTCGATTCTGAGGTCACCACGTCATTAGAAGGACCTGTGAAGTCATTCTCGTTTTGGTTAATTATCCGTATATATATATACGTATAAGAACGTATAAAATGGAATATTGTTTGAACATCTATCTCATCTGAAATGCTTCAGTCTATAATAGAGTACTTCATACACTGGTATTCATGAAAACCAGGAAGAGCTCCTGAAATATATGAATGTAAAATAATTTTTGAAGATATCAACTTAACCGTATTAAGTACAATTGCATCCATAAATACAGTGTAATTGCAACATTTCCTGATATTAATACTAATGTCCTAATGGAGCCCAGTAAAGCAAAATATATACCTCTTTGATAATGCACATCCCTTACGGAAAAATCACCCGTGTGAGCAACCATGTGATACTGGGACAGTGTGACCCAGTGCGCTCCATGTGACTGGGTCTCACGGGGTTCTTTCTCTTGATCTGTTCACGGTCATCTGTTACGGTAATGAATATTTTAAACAAATGAAGGGTGGAGGATATCGCTATGGACGTTCCTGGAGGACCGCTGTCAAGGAACTTCCTCGGAGGTATCTACTGTATAATCATATGCATTTTTTATATTATTTTCCCGACAGAACCATTATAACTTCCTCTAAATTCTAAGAAAGCCAGCTCACATCTGATTCTATTTTTTGGTGCCTGTACTCAACCTCCCACCAATCCAATGAGATGTGGGTGTGACATAGGGTGTAATGGGATGTGAGATGGTCAACCACATGGCATATCACATGTGACACAGCATGTGTTCGAGGGTGATTTTTCCGTAAGGGATGACATATACTGTATGCTGTACGTGTATTTCTTCATTTAGGATATCCTAGAGCCCTGCATGGGCTGCGAGCCGGCTCGATTGGCCCGACCTGACCCAGCCACTTTTCTACATTCTACAGATAAAACCATCGGAGCCGAGCAGCCAATAACAGGCCGGATCATGTGGTTTTGAGTAGTATGGCACACTGCAGCCAAGCGAACTCCTGTCACGCCGCCGAACCCATCAGAGCTCCTATGCCATTATTTCTTGGGGCAGGGGCAGCTGCAGCTACCTTGAGCCGACGCCATTTAGACGTCTGGCTCCTGTTCTACCAGGAAATTTTTTCACGCAAGTTAATATCGCCCTTATATAAATGTGGAATGGAAATGCAAGTACTACAACACCTTTTAATTCCATGACAGAGGACTATGAAGGCTCCCTTGTGGTTCCAAAGGAAGTCTTCCTCTGAGATAAAAAATGTGAAGAAGGTAATGGGAAAAAGCTGAAATCAGGCTTGTATTACGTGTTCAGTGCGGCCTATTCAATGTGACCGGTCACATGGTTGAAGAACGGTGTAGTTAAGCCAGAGACAACCGATAATATCTCAAATGTTTTAAATATTTTTCGTAACAATCAGAAATGATGAGGAAGTGAACAGAACAGAGACTAAAAATTTTTTTTCTCTGGTCTGGTCGAGCCATACTGTGAAATTCGGCTGCCAGTCGGGTTTCCGGTTGAATGCGGGCTAATTCTTGAATCGGGCCGATCGGGTTGGGTTCCGAAAAATCGGTCCATGCAGGGGTCTACATCACAACCACAAAATCACCTTGTTGGGCGAACATAGTCTCGCACTTTCCCGCTACGTAGTACATGCTGTGCTCATTTTGGGCCAAGCATCGATTCCCAACTTCCTCATACCGCCCTCATACACTTCCCAAATTTACCCAACGTTAGGCCTCCGTTTTGCTATCTGGGTTTACCCTTTTGAAAATAAAATTGAGGTTAATTTCCAAAATGGTGGCCAAATCCCGCATCCGAAATGGCAATAGTGACCAACTAAAAGTCACACAAGGAAGGGTTTAGTATCTATATTGGGTTATAGTGAGTCGCAGAGTTCAGTTCTGATATTCGAAGAACCTTTGCAAATACCGAGATCCAATATGGCTGCCAACTTTCAAAATGAATGTCTTGTTCCCTATTATAGGTAAGGGGACATATATTCGGACGACTGATAAGCAAAGGTGGGAAATGTAGACTGGAGGAGGAGCCATGGGGTTTCAGACCAGGCAAGTGGTTTGGGGAAAGGCATGAGTAAACGAAGACAGACAAGCGATGAAAGCTTTCAAATACACGGTAAATAATAAATGAGTGAGTGAGGCAAGTGAGCGAGTGAGTTCTTCGAGACGCAAAGTCGATATGTCTGTTGAGCTCGGAGAGGGTCTTATGGGTCCAAACAGTAACCAGACCAGGCTGCGCTACCTCGTCATTCGGTTAGATCTCACGATCTTCTGACCCCAGTCAATAGGTGGCATTCGACTACGTGGAGTCTGACAAATCCGTCGCCGATAAATTGTAAAGAGAAAATCCGA